ATTATATTATATAAACAAAAGATTCTCATAGCAGCTGCTAACTCCTCACACTGATCTGTAGAGTGCTTGAGCATTTCTTATGGAAAATAATCAAGTCTTTGGTGAAGGAGATGCCATCTGTATCCATGTTGTCTATGTCTGAACTCTCCACAATGAAATGGCCATGAAGGCCTTGTGCCCTGGAGAAGTTTCAGGACCTCCTGGGCCACCCTTGCTCAGCAGCTGCAAAGGGACATGGCTGGAGTGTGTGGGTAAAACTGGACCATACAGCCAGGCTCTCCAGCCAGTGCATCACTGACCTTTCTCTTTTTTCAGAGTAGAATCATTTCACCGTTCTCCCTCTGTGTGAGGATTTTAAAAAGATCTTGCTGCTTTTATTTATTTAAAAATTATATTAGATAGCTGACCTCATTGGGCAGAAGGAATGTTAATGGTATTCATATGATTCAAAGAGTTATTTGGAAATGAGGGTTTTGCAGTAATTCCCAAGTTTCCTTGAATGCCACTTTCTTTCATCTGAAAGCTTCCCTTTCCCCATTTTATTTAGCATTTCTCTGTATTGTGTGTGAGGGGGGTTTTATTGTTTTCTGTTTTCCCTAAAGATTCATAAGCATGTGTGTATGATTTCTAAAATGGTCAAAAAGTGACTCTCAACTACTGACGGTAGGATGCAATGCTAGGTGTGCTTATTGCTACAGAGTAAGCCTAAAAGAAGGACAGGTACTCTGATTACAGATTTCAAGCTGTATTTAAACTTTCCCACACTAAAAATTGTATGGATACCACTTTAGGTTTTAAGTGTATTTACCGCAAATGTTTTATTTTATAGGAACTTTGAACCAAAAAAACTGGGGAAAGAAATATTCAGCCTGTAATGGTGCCAAACAGTCTCCTATTAATATAGATGAAGATCTTACCCAAGTAAATGTGAATCTGAAGAAACTTAAATTCCATGGATGGGAAAAGGAAACTTCGGAAGATACTTTCATTCGCAACACTGGCAAAACAGGTAAAAAGTCAGATTTCATGGAGTTAAATGAGGTCAGAAAAGTGGTGTAGGATGGACAATCAGCCAAGAACTTTTAATTAAACATTTTCATTTCACATTCCCTTACCTGGTGAATTTGTCCATAAAATTAAAAAAAACCCAAAACACAACAGGTGCTGATAATAGCCAAGCATAATAGAGAAATCACACAAATAATTATGTGCACAGACAGATAGAGCCAAAGCAATCACATCATTACTATCATCCCACCACGGGCGCTTCACTGAAGCTAAACAGTAATTTAGCATTTGCTGTGAAATAATGGTTTCTACACTCCTAGAATCCATAACGAGTATACAAAAATGATTTTTTAAAAGTGTGAATAAATCACCTACTCATCTGGAAGCACTTCATAGATGAGTTGTGCTTTCAAAAACCTTAGGATGGGGTTCATCTCACCTACATGTAAACACCTATGATGTAGACACTTGTGTCTCAATTACTCACTTAGACTTCTTAAGTCAAAGAAAAGAAATAAGTACCTTTATGGTCTGATTTGTCTTGCCTATCTTAGAAATGTATTTTAGAAAGAAGTGATTTATGCCTACAAGTGCTTATTTCTCCCAGCCATAAACCAAGCTTATAGTGGCATTTACATCATCAGACAAATCTTTTTGCAACCACTTATAAATCTAGGATAGCAATGACTAAAAGCTGTTTGTTGAAAGTACTGTTTCTTGTTTCGGGCATAGGTATGGAAGAAGGAATCTCTTAACAACTGTCTTTGACCTTATACCAGTTCCAGTGGGACCCTTAGACTAGCTATTTTGTTTTATTTTATATTGGTTTGGTTTTCTCTTATTTTAGTGTCATTATTCCTAGTTTTTGTTCTTGACCCCATCATGTACTTCCTACATACTACTCCACAAATCACTTACTTCCTTCTTGCCCTACCAGCTGAGATAAATAGTACATTTGTCTTTTCAAGAGATCCCTGAGAAAATATTCTTTAAAGTCCATAAAAGTGATCTGAGCTCTTCATCACCTGTAGCAACTCAGATTGCTATAAAAGGAACTGCTAAGTTCTGCAGTTAAAATTGTCTTCAAGGTTTTGAGGAAAGGAATGTAATGAAACTGAACTCCATTAGTGCTGTTTTAGCAAGAGGTCAAACAATTCACAATCACTGGAAACCCAAATGTGGGGCTTTGGTCTATTCCACCCTGCTCATTCCCTCCGGAAGACAAACAGTCACTCCCAGCCACAGTTTGTGTCCATCTATCTCCATCCAAAGACCTGTCATCACCTTCTCCCATGGGAGACTTTTCCATAGCTAAGGGGTAACAAAAACAGGACAGTCCTTCTAGGAAATGGCTACAATTTTCTGTGTTGCCACATGATCTGTATCTAGAATTATGATAATAATGGAGGGGCATTTTCCTTTTTCTTAAAAACACAGCTGCTTTCAGAAAGCTGTATATTTTAGGGATTTGTTTTCTTTGACAGTCAGCTTGGTGGCTAAGCCAGTTCTCTGAGTTTTTTAGTATATTTCTTTGACTAGTTTCAGTCAACCAGAGACCAGTATAATATTGCACTTCATTAGATGACTATTTTGAGAATTGCAACATGAAATGAAATGTATTTCTCCATGTTAATAGTGAATTGTTACACTTCTTACTTAGTTTGAATAACCAATTTTCTGACAAATTGCTTATGAAATACAGGGAAATAAGCATATCATATTTACCTTTTAGCACCTAATACTGAAATATGAAAGTCATAGATGCCTTGGCCAGCTGTTATATTGACACTCCTTTTTCCCTCTCTCTCTCTTTGTTCAGTGGAAATTAACCTGACAAATGATTACTATGTGAGTGGAGGTGGGTTAGACACTGTGTTCAAAGCAAGCAAGATCACTTTTCACTGGGGAAAATGCAATGTGTCATCAGACGGATCAGAACATAGTTTAGAAGGACGAAAATTTCCTCTTGAGGTAAAGTACAGAACAGATTTTGATGATTTTGAAGATTCGACATTCAGCTCAAAGTAACACTGTTTATGAAATAGCTTTGTTTGTCACTCAATTATGTCTATTTGCAAATATAATCATTCACTTAAATCCAAATTAAAATTATTTAAATGATGCATTTTGGAAGGGCAGCATAAGGCGTTATTCTGTGGCATGTTGAGAATGTCTAAACTGTGTTTTTGCACATCATCTAAAATGATATTAGAATTTGGTTCTGCTAATCTGACAAAGTTCAAGCTTCCGCTAACAGTTAAGCTCCTACAAGTTTGACCCATCATATCACACAGCAGTCAGTTGTTTAGATTGTAAATGGACTTTTCAAAGCTGGGGCTTTGCTCATGATTGCCCATGGGAGCTGCTGAGTATTACCAAGACAAAGCGTGGCCCATGTCATTTGGATGGAAAGAGCTGTCGGTGCTAGGAGCCACCACATAAGAGCAGGTCCTGTGTGCATTTGCATTCACAGGCACCCGTACTGCTGGATGGTTTGGCAGAATAGCTTGCAGCAGCATGGGAATGGAGTGGAGGAGAGGAGCAGCTATTACTGAGATCTGTGGGTGCACTCTGCAGACCAAACTTGCAACCCTCAACGTGATGTTGTGATAATTTTCCACTTAAAAAGATACGGTTATAACAGGCACCTGTGCTGCTCCTCACTCTGAAAACTTTGAACTCCTGTATCAGAGCAAGGCAATAGAGCCAAGGCTGTCCTATACTCTGTGGAGAGCTGTGAGCCAGGAGTTTTCCCTCAGCAAGTGCCATTTGCTTTAGCTCTTTACCCATTTAAAAATTCCCACTCACACTCCACCTGTCCTGCCAAGGCATCAAGAGAATATTCTCTTCCGTCATCATCTCATAAAAACCTAGCAGGAGCAGGACACTCCCCCATTCATGTTGGTCACCTGGCACTGGAGGAGATTTCCCAACTGCATCTGAAGAAAGAGAGGAAGGGATGCAACAAACTCAATGCCCATGACAGCAGACGAATGTGGGCACAAAATACCTGGTAATTATTTATGGCCAATGCTTCTCTACACTTACTGCAAGGCATATGTATTAGGGACATCCTGCCTTATTATTCATGTTTTGCCACTGATTCATGTTTTACCACAAGATTCATTTCACCTGAGTTCTCTAGGTTAGATGTCCCTTACCAGCAAGTTGTCTCAGTTTACTATATTATCCATGGAGAGTATTGTGCTCCTTGAAAGGGTAACTCCTGCATACTTAATGGTTTTTCAGGAGAGGTCGTTGTTAGACAGCTAACAGCAGATGAATTCCATTCTGTATCTTGAGGTAATGCATGTGAGATAGATAAAATATCCATATATTTGTAATCAAATTTAGTGCTGGAATATTTTTTCTCAAAATGGGAATACAAATAACCACATTGAATTTATTTGTTTTTTATTTTTACATACATAACATTTGAATATATTTTTATTTGCAGATGCAAATCTACTGCTATGATGCAGAACAATTTACAAATTTCGAAGAGGCAGTTAAAGGAAATGGAAAGTTAAGAGCTTTATCGATTTTGTTTGAGGTAAACAAAGTATATCTTTGTGTCATTAAACAAGCTTTGAAACACAGCAGATGTTCAAACTGAATTTAACTGGTTCCAGTGTGTGATCACTGATTTAGAAATTTGCATATATCTTTCTAATTTATTCTTACAGAAAAACAATTGGGCAAAATATATTTGCTCTGCTTTAAGTCATCTGTAATTTTGGTGGTAAACTGCAACTTTCAATTTCTTTTTTTTTTCTTCATGAAGCCTGTACTGTTACAAAAATGCAATTTCTTTTTAACAGATTGGACTAGAAGATAATCCGGATTATAACCCAATCATTAATGGAGTAGATAGTGTTAGTCGTTTTGGTAAGTCTGCCTCCATGTTTCATTGATTACTGATTAGACTAAATCCTATTTCAGTGTAATTTTTGAAGCCTTAAAGGCATTGGGGAGCATGGTTCTGTAGAGCTCAGCCATGTCTATTTTGTTAGAAACAACAAAAGTCATCTGGAAAGACCAATTGCCAACCACGCGAAATTTAATATGGGTAAGTGCCAGATTCTGCTCCTGGCACAGGGTAATCCTCATATATACAAATTGGAGGATGAGAGGCTGAAGAGCAACCCCATGGAAAGAGACATGGGGTTGATGGTAAGTTGAATATGAGTCAACAGTGTGTCCTGGCAGCCAAAAGGGCCAGCTGTGTCCTGGGGTGCATCAAGCACTGCATAGCTAGCTGATTAAGGGAGATGAGTGTCCCACTCTACACTGCACTTGTGTGGCCCCACCTCGAGAACTGTGTAGTTTTGGCACCTCAATATAAGAGGGACATCAAACTGTTAGAGTGTGTCCAGAGGTGTGACCAACAAAGATGGTGAAAGGTCTTGAGGACAAAACTTATGAAAGGCATTTGAAGCCACTTGATTTGTTCAGCTTGGAGAAGGCTGAGGGGTGACCGCATTGCAGTCTACAGCTTCTTCAAGAGAGGCAGTGGAGGGGGAGGTGCCGATCTCCTCTCTTTGGGGCCCAGAGATACGACACAGGGAAATGTAATAAAGCTGCGTCAGGGGAAGTTCACATTGGACCTTAGGAAAAGATTCTTCTCTGAGAGGGTGGCCAGTCACCGGAAAAGGCTTCCAAGTGAAGTGGTCTTGGTACCAAGACTATCAGAGTTCAAGAGGCATCTGGATAACACTCTTAGTCATATGGTTTATTTTTGGGCAGTCCTGAGAGGAGCTTATGGTCCTTATGGGTTCCTTCCAACTTGGGATAGTCTGTAAGTCTATGATTTATTCCCCAAGACTGAATATTTGTAACAACAGAAGTAAGTGTAAATGAATAAATATCATCATGAATTTGAAATTCTTTAAATACTAAATCAAGAGAAATGTCTGATTCATTCTGTGAGTTTTTTGGTTGCTCCTGTGTAAATCTGAAATAATCCAATTTTATTATATTTTTACTAGCACTACTCAACCAAATGTTGACAATATCTGGTGTTTTAGAATTCCTTGTGTTTTCATGTCAGAGCACATGGACTTCAGGGTGGTGCATGAGGAGATCTGGGCTCTGTTTCCAACTCAGTTTCACAGCAGCTTCGCAGGAGAATAAGCATGAATGAGCACTGTCAGGGGTATTTTCATACATCATGGCTATGACCTGAAGTAAATGGCTAACTTTGTCTTAGTTTTTCCTATATGCAGTGGTGTTTGAGATTTTAAAGGCCCTTAAGATTGGTAGGTTGAAAGTGTAAAAAGTATCAGTCCACTATTTTAAAAGCTTTCAAAATTATGGCACTAAAATCAAGGTTGTTTTTCTCTAGAATACAAACACCATTCTCAAATGCAAAGGGAAGCAACTTTCATAAATCACAAAGGCAGAGGACAGGGAAATATAAAGCAGTTAAGATTCATTATCTTTGTGTGCCATCTTCTGTGAAATACAAAGGAGAACGAGTAACGCATCAAGGCAGACACTGTTCTACAGCCTTGGAAGGAGCTGTAAAACTATCAGCAGCAAGATTCAAGATACAGCCACTACATGGCACTTCAACAATGAGTAGAATATCATTTTTTGAACAGAATGCAAATAAGCTCTGAAAATTCAGGTCATTACTAAATCAAATTGTTCCTCCTGAAGAGAAGTGAATAGCACATGATCTTGTCTGTGATGTACATGATCTTTTCTTGTAAGTCGTATCTCTGTTGTGCTTATTTGAATCCTAGTTGATGAGTTCTCAAGCTCTGCAGAGGAACAGTCCTGTTGCTCATCATTCTTTGTAGGTGTTTGATTTTAGAATCTAGACTGTTAATCACATTAAAATCCAAATGGCAGGATTCTTACTATAAATGAGAAGTTTCATGTCCCCAAGATATCTACGTAAAATGTACTGGCCATTCATTTTGTTGAAGGAAGAATGCATTAGCTAGAAACATACCAGATAACAATGATGACTTCTTTCTGAAGGTTGATTAACACATTGACAGAAGAAATAGAAGGATGGGCTTTGCTCAGCAATGCTAAATGTTCCCCTTTTGTGACATGTGGATAAGAGAGAGGTCTTACCTCAGTGGAACAGTCACTGTATGAAGGCAGGCATCACTGATTTGTAGTAAACTGTTAATGTGATTTGCTGCTTTCACCATGTTTGTAAGGAATTATGAAGATAAAAGGTCAGAAATCTGTACAGGGCTCAAGAGGTAGTATCTGTAAAACCACAAGTTAATGCACAGTCTGAAAAATCGTTAGGTATTCCTAAGTGAATACTTCTGAAATAGAGAGAAATTTAAAATCAGTAACTTACACTGAAATAAGGTGCATAAGGTTCTACGTTATTCCAAGATATAAAAACTAAGTATTATTTTGAATGCAGCAGACAGTAAGGCAGATAATTGTCACAAAATTGATAATTGTAGCAGACTGGAAAAATCTGCCAGTTGGTACCATTTCTGCCAATTTCTGTTGCTGAACCCTACTGCCACACTAGCATGAACTTAGCTTTCTGTGGATGGACTCCCAGAACCCTTGTACATGCTCACAGCTGACAAGGTACCAAGTAAACTGCTGACCTGAAAGACATGGCACTGTTTTCACAGGACAATAAACAGAATGGTCATACTCTCCTGGAGGAGCTCTGCAGCCTTCTCTGCTTTGTGTTAAATCTGTTAATGTTTTTCACTGTATTTTTAAACCCCCTGATCCATAATAATTCTGCTTCTACAGTCATGACTAGCATAACTTTCAGGTCTAACATGGCAACAATGTACCAGGCAGTGATTTTCTGCAGAGGTTAAGATCCTGTGAGAAACTGAACAATTTAACCAAATTCAGTGAGAGCCTGAAGCTGTGTCATGAGACCAAGAACAGAGATTTAACATATTTTTTTCTTTGAAGTTCACATGTGAGACAAAGATTTGGCATCTTTGACATTTACAAGTAAACTTGAACAAATTCTTGTGAACCAACATACTGATTACTCTACTTGTTACTGGAGTAACTCGTTAGACCTTCCAAGTAAACAAGGTGGTTTTGTAATAATATTCAAACCACATAAAAAAGGCTCAGCAATTTATTTTTATGCTAGTCTCTCTGGATATCAAATTTTGAATGGCCTCAAAATTAGCATGTTCCTATAATGGTAATTCTTTTAGAGGGTTTATTTAGTCATTGTTTCTACATATTTTAACTTGAACCACGACAATGACTCTTTTTTTTCCAGGAAAACAGGCTGCCTTAGAACCATTTATTTTGCTGAACCTTTTGCCGAATGCAACAGACAAATACTACACTTACAATGGGTCTTTGTCAGCTCCTCCCTGCTTTGAAACAGTTGAATGGATTGTGTTTAAAGATACCATAAGTATTTCTGAAAACCAGGTAATGTGCTTCATGTATTAAAACCAAACAATAGTACATAATAGCAAAGAAAAACAATTGCTCTGTATATGGTAAAAGCTCATGGCATTCATTGCCAGCCCAAGAACCTAGATTTTCTTCTATTTACTTACAAGTTTCATGCAGACATTAAATTAGAAAGGATATGTGTTACTCAATTCTGTCATCTTTTCCCCTTTTTAGTCCAGGACTAGATTCTGAGTCATTTCTTGCCTTAGAAAGCAGTAAGAGCACACTTCCTAAATCTGCAGGCTGTCTGGACTTACATAGCCCAGATAAAGATGAGTGCAAAACACTCTTTGCATATTCCCCCACCTAAATGGTGGTGCTGGGCAAAGCATAGCTCCAACAACAGTGTAGTTGAGAAATAGAGGTGGAGTAAAACAGATATACTGCTGGTACAGAAGAACAAAAGTTCAGTGCTACCCAGGAGAGCTCAGCTGGGAGACTTCACCCACCATCTGTTCCCCAGGGCTCTTCCATGTTAACAGTATCTGGTTAGTTCGTTGTGACTTCTGACTTCTGTTTTTTTCCTTGCCTCTTCTAGTTAGCTGTATTTTGTGAAGTCCTTACAATGCAGCAGTCTGGCTATGTTATGCTGATGGACTACCTGCAAAATAACTTTCGAGAACAGCAATATAAGTTCTTTGGGCAAGTGTTTTCCTCTTACACTGGACAAGAAGAAATTCATGAAGCAGGTATTTACTGAACAGTCATTCCTCTCCACAGGTTGAAAGACAGTTTTCAGTAAAAAAATTCATCCTAGTACGAAGATACTCATTTTAAATTGTGTAGAAAGTAGCACACTGTATTATTACTCATAAATCTATCACTTCAGAGAGAAAAAATAGCAATCATAAAACATGTCAGATTAAATGGAGTGGAAAATTAAATGCTTGTCTTGACCAAACATTCAGTGAAGATCGCATCAGTTCAAGCTTTCTTGCTGTGCCCTTTTAATGTCTGAGACTTAAACAAAGCTGCCTTTTCAGGGGCTGCAAGAGTATTTTGTTTTACAAACCCATTTGGTTCTTTGTTGTGTAATGTGGATGCTTTTCCAACAGAGACTGAAGTGAGGTCACCGAATTAATTTCACGTAGTCTGCTGAGAAAGCGATAGATGGAGAGAATCCCAGAAGCCAGATTCTGTTCTCAGGGAGGTTTGTGAAGGTTATATGACCAAAACAGTACATTCTGTAGTGGGAAACAAGATCTAGCACTAAATATGGAAGTAAATTATTTCTATACTTACAAGCGTAGAGGAATGAATAGTAAAAATCTGTTTGAGGGGATTATGTTACTACTTGGGTGGGGATACCTGTAGATTCCTAAACTCAGTTGCATTGAACTGCGCTTAGTTAGACATAGACAAATGAGTGAAGCATGTGATGCAGGTGTCTCTGGATCAGAAAGAAGTGTGGTTTCATTTTAATTCATCTTAGTTGAGTGGATTTTTTTTTTTCCCCACTGGAACAATATGATGTATGAAACTTGGGTACAAGCTAGGGGACGTTCATCGTTCAGAACTGCTGGAGGGCTGCATCCCCTGCACAAGTACATTACACTGTTTTGCCACACTGCTGCACAGGATAACTTTACTGCCTCATTTCGATAACCAGTCCATGGCATTTCTGTTTTGGCCTCAGCTTGTCATGAACACCTCAGATGCATGCCCAGGATGTGAATTGTTTTGCATTGTTCAAAGCCAAGAAATAGCTGTTCTGTCAGGGTTTCTTTGTTCCGGTACTAAGTAGCACTTGAAATTTTGAAGTTTGGAGGAATATGGAATTGAGCTGCAACAATCAAGCAAATTACTACAATTAAATAAATTTCTGTTTCCAAATAGACTTACAAACAACATTGTTGATTTGGCCTAACTTAAAAAAAGATTATGATTCCCCAGATCCCTCTATTTAATGAAGGTCTCTGGAAGAGAGACCACTTATGTCCATGTGTCAGAAGGAAATTAATCTTCTCAAGTCCTTTATAACTAGGAGTAAATCTACGGTGGAGAAATGTCATAGGCAAAAGACTTTTGAAGACAGAGACTTGGACTTCTGCCACCTGAAATCCACTTGCCTCCCAGGCAGTTGCAATACAGCCATGACCTTGGCCTTGACTCTTGTCACTGCAGTAGAAGGAAGCTACTTTCAGCTGTGCCATCCTAACCTAGATTTCCATAGAGACTTGCAAGAAGAAAACTTGGGTAATACTGTTTAAGACAGGCCCCTGCTTCCTTCTGTCCACTCTATGTGCAGATACCTGAAGGAGTGTAGGTTAAAAATTCTGGTTTGGCCATAAACAAGGAGGGACAAAAAGGGATCATGAGAATTTCAGGTCTACCTGTATACATATTTCACATTTTGCTAATATTTGTGTGCACTATGTAAATGCAGTAAGATCACATACACGTACATAATATATATATTTATGTACACACATGTATATACACACACACGAATGCAATTCTGGGATTTGCTTAGCATAGAACGTTCAAGGAGCTTTTTTACCTCCATTTTAAGGAATGGTAAATTAAAAGGAATGGTAAATTAAAAGTCCTGGGAATCATTAAATTTAAGTGTTGAGATGTAAAAGCTATAACATGAATGCCTAATACCCTAGAAGTAAATAGGCTGAAATCCTTTTTGACAACACAAGAGAAATTACGCAAGTGGGTTGTACTCAAGTAGGTAACTGAAAAATCTTGACCCATGGGTGTTTTCGTCAATTTTCTTCCACCATCCTGCTGAGGAGGGAGACAGAGAGCAGCCGGGTGGGCACCTGGTGGCCAGCCAAGGTCAAACCCGTACACATGCTTACTGTGCTGCTCCACCTCCATTGTAAAGATAGACTGGGAATACTGACGAACTACTTCTTGCCACACACGCTGGCAGGGAGCTGAAAAGCCCTTGAGTGTCTTAATGCAAATGAAGTGTTTTCACAGCTTCCACAAGTGAAAATTGGATTTAAAAGATAAAAATCTCAAACCCAGATTCAACTAAAAGTAGAAGAAAGCAACAAATGTGGAAAAAATCCCCTGAATTATCCAGTGATGACTGAGAACTATACATAGTTTTATTCCAACTGTTTCAAACTCAGAGAAGCATAAATCCAGGCTTTTTTTTTTTTTTTTAAATATATATCTGAATAAGGCAAATTTGGGCAGCTTGTAAAAGTCTTTTTGTCAAAAATACAGTCCAGGCAGTTTTTTAAAATGATTCCTCTAATGTACCCTGGTGCTACCTGATGATGCAGTTCAGTTTAGATTAAAAACTTCTAAGTTATATGGGTAGCATTTTATTCCACAGAAGAATAAGCAAATATAGGTGCATTATCATGATACGATACGATACGATATGATATGATATGATATGATATGCAAAACCAGCATCTCTGGGGAAAACAGAGATCAGAATTCAAGCCCAGCAGGGGCTTGGACAAGTCTCTGTCTTCCTGTGAATATATTTTCCTGCTTGAGACTTGTTGAATATCTGTGACTTTAGACTAGTAACAGACTCGATAACTACCTTTCTTGCAGTCTCCTTGCCCAGATTTTCTAAAAGTCAGTATCAAAGTAGAAGTCTTTAATTAGGTAAGTTGTTATGTGATGTCCTTGCTTTTCCCAGTCTCTGGGGAAGGAAAATGTGAAAAGGCAAGAGCAAAATACCTCTGTGCTACTGAGACTGGCAGGCAGAGAAAGGAAATGGCACAGGTAGAATGACTGATGAAGAGGCATCCAGAAGAAGGTCAAGAGACAAATGCCTGGGAAGAAATTGAGGTGAAATAATATGCAAATGAGTGTCATGTAGGAATACTGTTGGTCACTGCTGAGATGAACAGGACCAAGCATCAAAGGAGAAGATACCTTTTTATTGGGGGAAAAAAAATAGTTGGAAGAAGCATCTATTAAAGAAAACAGAGTAAAACTGAAAGAAATAATACTGAAGACACCAGTCTTGTACCTTTAAAAGCTTTGTAATGCTCCTCAGTTGATCTGAATACACTCAGAGATTTCACAGCCAAATTCATTCACAGATGAAGAGACGAAGAGACGAAAAAGGACAGTAGACAAGAGTTTGCAATAATGAGAAGCTTTGTACTTACACTATGAAAAAGTGGAGAGTTATTTTAAACACCTTTAAAAAAAAAAGGCTGAAGAACATTTAGATTCATTTAAAAAAAAAATTAAACCAGAGTTTGTCATCTGCCTTAGTGCTCAGAATTGAGACTTGCTGGTCTTATGATTTCCTTTTGCCATCTGGTGGAAGTGGGTTGGAATGACAAGTTTTGGTAATGGAATGGAATGTACAAAGCTTGGTTGGGGGTTTGTTTGGGTTTTTTTTTGAAATTTGCTCTTCCTTAATGTCAATTCAAAGAATTCTGTGTAATGAATAAAATGGTGTGTTGGATATATAGCACAGGAGATTCAAGGCAAGCTACAGAATTCAACTAAGTTACGTAGACTAACACTGCCTCTACCAATAGCTCACACACACACAGCTCAGACCAGTGCTGCTCAAAACTGCCTAACAGCATGCAGAATGGAAGAAACTGGCTTTAAACTGAAAGAGGGCAGATTTAGTTTACATATTAGGAAGAACTTTCTGTGAGGATGGTGAGACACTGCTACAGGTTTCCCAGAGATGTTGTGGCTGCCTCATCCCAGCCAGGTTGGACAGGGCTTTGGGCAACTTAGTCTAGTGGAAAGTGTCCCTGCCCATTGCAGGAGGGAGAGAAGTAGATGGTCTTTAAGGTCCCTTCCAAAACAAATAATTCTATGACTCTATGAGATTGTTTTTCAGAATATTTTCTTGAGGGGTTTCAGTGCCCTCCTGTGCTCAAGTGGCAAATTGCAAAGTTAATAGAAAGAATATTTTTCTCCTTTCTTTTAAAATGCAGTATTGTCAACCAAAAGCATTGTGTTTGCTTCTTTTAAAAGAACTCCAAAGATTCTACACTTATTTTGTTAATTAGCTAGATAGGGTTTTTTGCTTTCTTTTCCTGGGTACTCAAAATTTGTTTCAAACAGATTCTGAGATAGATTTGAAAAATATGTTTTCTCATTTATTCCAAATAGAGAATGATTAAGTAACTACTGCTGCAAAAGCCAAGCTAAAAGTTTTGTAATACAAATGTATCCATCTGATCATCATAATATGTAAGATTAAATCAAATCGTTGAAAGATTCAAAGCAAACTTCATGTACTTAGATCAGTGATTTTGAGAAGTCTGATAGATTAAATAAAGCAGTAGAAATGAGGTAATAAATGAAGCAACAGACTGAATAGTATGTCTTTTCAGGACATATGAAAGTACATATGAAAGGAAATTCTGTACATAAGAAAGGAACTTCCCAAAAGCTAGGGCAGGCGCAGATAGCCACTCTGAGCATTTCAATCAAAGTTCAACAACCATGCAGTTTCAAAGAGATGAGAAGAGGGATTTATGCCAGGGACCCCTGACCCTCATTCTGAGACATCAGAATAAATCAATTTGCTCTACTCTCAAGTTGGGAACCAAAAGTTTGTGAACACTTCTGACAGTCATCTCCATTCTTCAGTGCTGGATCTTAGGACACAGTTCCCCCATCAGCAGAGAGGATGATGAGAGAGGGGGAAGGAGAATGGGGTGTCAGCCCAGACCCAAACCAGCCATGAATGATGCAACTGTTTATAATGTTGCTTTATTTTTTCATATATCACAACTTACTGGTCATTTTTCATTGAGCTTCAAGCTAAGTAATTTACATTTTCTGCTAATTTTTTTTGTTTATTTTTTTTTGGTTAATACAGTTTAAGCAACATTTGACCTTGTATATTTTTTTTAAACCACACACAGGTACTTGGGCAACTTAAAAAACAAATGTCAGTCTCAGTAAATTTCTAGCACACTGGTAATTAGTACATCTGTATGTCTATGAAAGTATTGAAGCATTGATCTTACTTGAATGAGATGAAAAAAGAGTAGTGGAGGGGAGAAGCTGAAAGATATACAAGAGCAGCTGCCTGACCAGGAGTGCAAGTTGCAGGCTCACAAAGAAGGTGTATGAGCCAGGCCCAGGACTGCAGCAGTCTGCTCAGACATTTTCAGCCTATGTCTAGATGGTGCCTTAAGTTATAATAACATGAAATCACTACCTGCTAACTTCATCATTTTTACTGAAGGAAGAATGCATTAACTAGACACATACCAGATAACAATGATAGCTTCTGTTTGACAGTTGATTAATGTGTAGACAGGAGAAATAGAAGGATGGGCTTTGCTCAGCACTGCTAAATGTTCCCCTTTTATGACATATCTGCTTCTGTTTGCCTTTTGTTTCTTCTTTGGGTACTATAAAAAGATTCAAATATCCTTAAGAGAAAATTCAAGTGTGATAGGTTTACCTTTAACCTTTAAAAACAATCTGATGTAGATTATAGTCTATTATAGCTGGTAAGAGAGTATGCAGCTATTCTAATGGTACTCTGATAGGGCAACAAAGCTGATGGCAGGCCTAGAGCACATATCTTATGAGGAACGGCGGACGGAGCTGGGGTTGTTCAGTCTGGAAAAGATAAGGATCAGGGGGGACCTTATCACTCTCTACAGCCACCTGAAAGGAGGATGGAGAGAGGAGGTGGCTGATCTCTTTTCCCAAGTAACAAGTGCTAGGACAAGAGGTAACAGCCTCAAGCTGCACCAGGGGAGGTTTAGACTAGATATTAGGAAAAATTTCTTCACCGGCAGGGTGATCAGGGATTGGGACAGGTTGCCCAGGAAAGTGGTGGAATCACTGTCCCTGGAAGTGTTCACAAACTGTGTGTAATATGGATTAGTGGTGAACTTGGCAGTCCCGGGATAAAGGTTGTATTTATCGTAAAGGTCTTTTCCAGCCTAGTTGCTTCTATGATTTTATGACTCTGTGATTCTGATAGACTCATAAAGACAGAGTAATAGAGAGTTTTCATCCCCAGGACATATAGATGAATGTTTTGTGTTTTATATTTTATTTCTTGTGAACTGGATATTAATATTTAACAAAATATGGTATAAAATGGTGGGGAAGGGGACTTAATCCTCAAACTAACTGGCTTTCGAAAATCCAGTGTTAAAATACTAGTTCTGTTTATAGTGCATGGCATCTCAGGTATTTTAGTCAAAAGTTAAAGATGAGGCACCTGAAAGACCTGCATTATTTTTCTCTGGAGGTGGCTCAAGATTTCAGTAAAGACACTTGTACTATTTAAAAGAAATAGCGTATTCTTTCCTTTTTCTTCCAGTTTGCAGCTCAGAACCTGAAAATGTTCAATCTGATCCAAAGAATTATACCAGTCTTCTCGTTACATGGGAAAGACCTCGGGTTGTATATGACACCACAATTGAGAGATTTGCTGTTTTTTATCAACAGTTGGATGGAGAAGACCAGACTAAGCATGAATTTCTGACAGATGGGTATCAGGACTTGGTAACTGTAAACTCTTCAAGTTTCATACAAAGGGGTGATGGCAAAACACTCACTGTTAATTATCTTAAGGGATTAAACGGTAGCTGGGATCTGAATCGATGAAAAATCACTTCTTTGGCTGCAGCTCACAGAAGCTGTACTCCATACTTTGGCTGTGAAGCCACAAAGACCAAGAAAAAAAGAAGTCTCTCTTGCCCAGAAGAGAGAAAGCTTTTGCTGTTTGCTGTTCTGATTTGCTTTTACTATCCCCAGAATTTTATGACCATATTAATCTCAGAGCTCCTTAGCTGTAAAGCCCTTAGTCAGTTAATAGTGATCTGTGCTTCATTGCTTACTGATGTGAAAGAATGATCTACACAAGCAACTAATAAGATGCAGTGCAATCATACAGCTATAAATATTAAGTTACTGATTACAGCTTCATGGTGTTTTACTGAGGTGATCTGTTCCTCTAACCCTCTTTAAAGACTTACAACTTATCAGAGTTAATGTTACCTAAACTGATGTTCAGCATTAAATAATCATATAGCTTGATATCCTCCACGTAAAAATTCACAAATTCTTTTTTTAAGTTGACTGAAAAACATTTGTGACAGTAAAATATAAAAAGCATACATGAAGAGTCCTAGAAGAAAGGATCTGTATGGTTCATATAAAAAACATGTTATAAAAAAAATAACATTTTGAAATATTTGAATCTTATTTGTAAGTAAATGATTAAACATGTTTTTTCTTTTAGGGGGCTATTCTCAATAATCTGCTGCCCAATACAAGTTATGTTCTTCAGATAGTTGCTGTTTGCTCTAATGGTCTATATGGAAAATACAGTGACCAAGTCATTGTTGATATGCCTTTGGAGGACACAGGTAAGTGGTCTTTGGAGCTTAGTGATCACTTTTAAATGAAAATCTGTATTTGAAGAAGTAGTTTGTTTGCAAACCAGTTAAAGTGCACAACTATCAAAATATGCTAAAATGAAATTTCAAAATCGCTGCAGTTAACTATCAGCATGTTCTTTGCTACTGATACTTCACATGATGTAATTCTCCATTCCTTGTAAACATGACCTATGAAAGACTGCATGCTAATTTTTTTAATATTCTGAAAAACACCTACCTGATTTCAAATCTCACAAGTGTATCTCAGTAATGTAATGTATGGAAATAAAGCCATGTTTGGTACTATTTCTCTATAGTTCAAATGTCCTCCCAAAATTAATCCACACAGCCAAAGTGTTAAGCAAACAAATAAAACAAACCCAGTATATGACTTAGAAGTCTGTATCAATATGACTTAGAGGCTTGTATCAATTGATTTTGAAATTTGATTTCTTATGACTACTTGAAGTTTGATTTCAAAGGACTTGTGGTGATGGAATTCCCTTGCTTCTTAATGCTGCCTCACAAAAAAATCAAAAGGCCTAACAACCAAACCTTACTGATTTCACAGCCAGATTTACTTCTTCCGCCTGCTGGTAAATATGAAATAATTTGAAACTATAGCATGAAGCTTGATCTTGTCCTTAATAATTCCTTAAATTCTGTGGAAGTTTTAGCATCAGACCCAGTTCTTATCAAAGTGAATGAGAGCTGTGTTATTAATCAACAACCCTTTAATTAATCATAGGAAAAAAAGACTTTCTGATCATAAAAGAAACCATTTTTTACCTGAGGGCCTGAATTCTTGTTGGTTATTTATGGATTCTGTAAGTTCAGTTTTACACTTCATTAAGTCTGTTGAGCTACAGCAAAGACCTTAGCAACATTGTGATGTACCTGGGACAATAGGTCAGTTTTTAATTTCAAGGGAACCACATTCCTTTGCAGTGAGAAAGACTATGATTCTCAACAATCTCTATCTCATGAATTATCAAGTAATAATGGTAATAGGCTTGTAATAGTGCATTTAGTTTGAAGGAGGGGGATGCAGCTTCAGGTATAAATTTTCAAAAAATGTCTAACTTGCCTTTCAAACACAATATATCAAGAAGAATGCATTTTGGAGTCTTAAACCAGTCTCTGTCAGAATTTTCCTATTTCTTTTCAGCTCTCTAAGAAGTCCATGACAAAGGTCTGACATTTTGACTGACATTTCACCTTTCTGTTTATCCTTTAACTACCTCTTAGATACTGTATTCCTCCACTTCCTTTCCTGAATTTACTGGTTTTGTGTTTGAAGCATTTTCTCAGATGAGAGTTCATCTACATACCCCCACTACATATATAGATAGATAGATAGACAGACAGATAGACAGACAGACAGATAGATAATCTCTATACTCCCATCCATTTCTACATGGAATGACAAATAAGCAGCATGGTGTTGTCATTATTAAATAACAGTTCAACAAATCAAGTCAGTGCAATGCTGCCATCGCAGCTTGAAAATCTCTGATAACAGACATTGCAAACCAAAATCCGGTATAGGTAACGTCCATAGAATGAACTGATCCACTACTACTGTTGTATCCCTCCTGTAAGGATGAGTTGCATACCACCCCGCTGTGTGCCATGACTTCCTTTGGAAGGAAAGGTGGATGTAGAGGCAGGGAGGGAGACAGGAGCACTGGGCCTGGGTAACTGCACAGGGTACCTGTTGTGCAAGCAAATACTGCTGGGGAACAAACTTGGCGAGAGGATGATGGGATGTTCGTCAGTCTGCAGCTGGCTAGTAGCACAGATACAGCCACCGCTCATGGCATCCCCGCTGAACTTCTGTTGAAGTCAGGCAAAGCAGTGGCTTTGCATTCATTTCAGTAGAAGGAAGAGCATGGGCCTTGCTTTGGAAACACATACTGGTAAACTCATTTCACCTTCCAGCATATCAGCAGAAACTACTCTGAGATGTGTACTCTCAGACAAGATAATTTGGTGCAGTAAATGTTATATTTAGCAGTTCTGAGTGAAGGTCTGATATTTTTATGCTTTTTTACCCTGACACGCTACTAATTTCTTTTTGTTAAAAAATGAGGAAGTAGTGTACAAGAATACCTAGGAGGCATAGCAATGTAAAGATGTATCTGTATAAAGTATGAACAGGTTAGCATAACTGTGAAAATGGCAGTTTTGTGTCTTCTGTCATTTGAACATTCAGATATGTCTCCTTAATGTTGCATTAAAGCAAATTAATGTGTATATTATAATCACGAGCTTTCTTGGTTTTAAATAACGCGTTGTAAAGAAGAGAGTTAAATAACCTGCTTATCAGAACTGTGTAAATGCCTGCTTTGTTTGTTGATTTTTTGTTTATTTCAGGCAGTCCTGAAAATTTGTAATACTTCAGGTGTGCCTAATGTTTTTCCTTTAGTTTTCTAAACGCTTCAAAATTGAGGAAGATTATTTCAGGTCAAATGAAGTGTTTCAAGGATATTTTACATTAAGAAATAACATAAAAAGAGGGAAAAGTTTTTAAATAAAAATGAAATACCAAAATGAATATTTTGTGTGTTTCAGAAAACTGTTTCTTTGGAATGTTTCCAATCTGAAATGGACACAAATTTATTAAATGTACTTTGTGTTCTTTTGTTTTTACACTTCCACAGCAGTACATCTAAAAGCATAGGATAAGGAAAATTCAGGGAAAAATCTCTCCCATGTAATTAGCATCATTCCTAATAGGGTGTACATTGCTCTGTAAGTAAGTTTTATAGATGCTATTGAAACCCTGAATATAATTTTAAAATATGAAAAAAAACTTCCATTCATTTCTAATATTAATGTTTGTTTGCATACTTACTTTTACTAATGAATTACCTCTGAATTAACTGCTGCAAATATTGAAAATATTTTTATATTTAATGTTAATATTGCAAATATTAAACAACAGAAATATGAGAATGTAGATATCTAATGAGAAAGATCTGTTCAGAGCAACTTGCTGCTTACAATTATAACATCAAATTGGTTTTGTGATCTGCTTTATAGATCTTGAGGCAAAAGGGGATTTCTTGGAGCTCCTGCTTGTGAATTTATGAAAGAAAAGTTACCTTCACCATGAAGACATGAAATAAAATTGAATCACATAAAGCATAAACTAAAACTTTCATTTTCAAGAATTACTCTGAATAAGCCAGTTTAACTAAGATGAAATTCACTGCAGTCACCTCCAGATTAATTAATGTTCATGTTAAGAGCGAAAGTGAGGCATAAGTCATGCGGAAGCGTTAGATGGGGCTTTTCCAGGAAGAATTCTGACCTTGGAGTGGCCACTTTTAATGGGGGAAGTTTAAGTACCCTGTGCAACACAAATCTGGTGTTCAGAAAACTGACAACCATTGTTCTAGCCTTTTCCTTTTGAAATACTTGCAGGAGGAGAATGTTTCTCATACCTTCTCCCCACCCTGTCTGAGTGCAAGTGGTTAGTGAGGGCTCTGCAGGCTCCGGGTGGTCCACAGACCAGGTTTAAACCCTCTCATTCTCAGCAGTGCTTCCTCAGAGGAAGGACCTCTTTCAGGCCATGCTCTCTGCCTCAGTTTGTGGAAGCCTTGGAAGCTCTCATATGACATTTGGCAGATTATCATGGTTGAGACCCCTGCTCTGAGACCTCTTTTGGTTTTTCCTAAGCTGTTCAGAGTGGCAGGCTTTTATCTTGCAAGATAGTGTGTGTGCACACTAAAATGCTTTCCAGTTAGTTTCCATTTAGTAAATGTCACTAGACGTAGCTACACAACCTCCATTGAAAATGACAGGAATCATGTACATAGTGTTTTAGTCATCTTTGATAAAAGTCCAACCTTTATTTACCAATTTTATTTTTTTTGTTTGCTAGTAGAATTGTTTTTAGAATAACTATCTAAATGTGTGCTTTGACTCTCTAGATAACATCTGTATAGCTCTAAAAGTTCTGCAGTAGTTTATTGTGTAGTTAATACCAGTGTTACATGCTTTTGCTGACACAGGAAATCATAACTAAGAATATCTCTCCTCTCATCTGCCTTTGTTTAGACTTTGGTTGTTTATCAAAAAAACCCATGCTGGGATGAGGCTCTCAAATACTGTCTCCTGCATGGCAGCTCATGCTGTCAGCAATGCTTTGTGAGGGTCTAACTATGCAATTTCTTTGTAACTTGTCCTTGTGATTTTTGTCCTAAAAAACACTAAGTATATATTAAATGTTTCATTTAGGGGATGCTTTTTCTAATTTTGTGTTGATAAATGTAGAAATCTGAAAACTAATTTAATCAGAAGAAACAGGCTTTACTTTTGTTCTTGCCATGCAATTTATTACATAAGACAGTACAGAAATGAAAACAGTTTGTGTTGTACACATTGTTCTACTATTACAAAACAGATTGTTTTAAGAGAGTTCTCTAAAGATTTGCATTGAACATAAATGTATGGAAATAGTTACCTTTTTTTGTCTTTGCTCTATCTGTTACTAAAATGGGCTATGAAAAGACATCTCAAAAACTTTTTAGCTAATGATTTAATTATTTTATTTTAAAATGTAAGCTATAGAATAATCAATATATGGTTCCATTAAAAATAAAGAAGCTTGTTCATCAGCCTACATCAATGGGTTGTTTTTTGGAGGGTGCGGTTCTTTTCCTTGGCTGGGGAATGTTAGCAATTTCTGTCATCTCCCGTCAAATCAAAACCACAGCAACAGGAGTGACAGAACTTCTGTAAGTGTGTGTCTGTAATGCTTTTAACAAATACATTTTCTGTGACCAAATAAATTTAAATAGGGTTTGTAAAATGCCTGAGGATTTAGTGCTATTAATGTATATTTTATATATGGAGACAACAGCAAGAAACTGTAATTTGCTGGTGATGCAATATGAGAGCACATACCCTACTGTATACTCTAGCACAATGTGCATATTTTATTTTTCTCATTGAGTCTGATTAAAGCTCAACTCAAGAACAGTGACCACAGAAAGAATTGGTAGAATTCCTCTGTGTTAAAAATATTTTTCAGAGAAGTCTATTGAGTACATAATACCTGGTATGGGTCTACTATGGGAAGACTTTCAAACTAATGACTACAATATTTGATTTATATTATTGAGAAGCCAGGGAATATCATTATCTCCTCCACCCCTTCCTCCCCTCCGCTCCCCTCCCTACCCTGCCCCGGAGCCTCCTAGGCTTCCAGCAGTCAGAGGTAAGATCATTTTTCTCTATCTTGTTAATGAAAAGTTAGTTCAGTATTTGGTAATTTATAAATGCTTGTTACAAAAGAACAACTTAGGAAGATTTTGTGAAGCAAAAATTTGTTTACATGCTATAAACTACAAGTAAAACTGTATGAGCTTTTTAGTTCAATAAACTTTATCTAGTGTATGTTGCATTTAATACGTCTCACCTTGTTTTGAAAAGTAGATACAGACAGACCAAAGAGAATACAAATTAAGTCATAGGTCCTTATCTGACTTTGCAGAGATGAGAAGTGTAAAGATGACATCTTTGTTCAAGTGTATCAAGGAAACTTCATTTGGGAATTATGGAGGAAATGCAGAGATGGAGCTCTCTGTGGTGCTATTGTTAGAATTGCTTCCCAGGCTTAGGGACTGGCATTTTCACTTGGTGTAAATCAGCCCTCAGAATATGTGCTAGCATTGGTGTACAAACAGAGCACTGCAACATTGCTTAGGAGAAAGGCTTAGAAAGATTTAGAAAGGGAATGGACCTTTCTGTGGATGAAAGCAGCAGTCGGTTGAGTTAATGCTGTGGAAGGGGTATTAGATTTGATCACTGGAGGCCTGTGCCAGTTCCAACCAGAGATTTGTAGGTTTCTTGCAACCTGCTGTGAAGCCTCTCTTGCTGACCACCATCAGAAGTAAAATATTGGGTTTGGCCAAAAAGACAAAGAGAAAGAAGGTGAGAGACTAACTCTAAACTCGGAAGGATTTTCACCTGGGCTGTAGGAGTTTCATTTATTGATCCTGGTTCAGCTGTTACTTATTTATGAAAAGTGGGGAGTCCTCAAAAGCATTAAAGTAGCACTTCATAGAGCTCCCCATACCTGTTTATTGGGGACTTCTTGTGGGAGGTGATACATGTGGGTTCATGTCCTTACATTAAATCAAGTAGAGAAGGAGTTTGAAAAAGGCCTTACAGTGCTGGACTCTAGGAAGAGTGGGTCTCTTTGGTCTCTCCTGACTGAGGCAGGCAGCCCCACTGCACATTGAACATGGTGGCCTGGCTCTTGTGGTAGTACCTAACTCCAAGCCTGGATGCACAGATGAGGAATTTGCTGTATGAAAATTATACAACAGGTAATTTTACAATAATACCTTCAGAGCTTTCAGGTTAAATGTATAGAAGTAGATTATTCCCGGACTTACCTTTTTTCTCCCTTCTGTATTTCTGCATTAAACTGTACTTTCTTATAGAAAACATTTTCATAAACTTGGTTCTTCCTGGCCAGGATGTGGTTCCTCAGTTGAGATCCAACATGTGCTGCAGTATCAGACTAGAGCCAGGCAAAACTGTTGTGGCTGAACATCTCCTGTCTAGATGAACATTGCTACCCTTAAAGCTAGTCCTCAACCCAGGTGGTTGGCCACTTCTCCAAATACAATCCTATAAAACATCTTAGACTAGGTTTCAATAAATATATTAACTAATCAGTTGAATCCTTACAGAATTAATAATTCTGAGAATTTAAAATGTTCGATGATATGATGTGCATTTTTGTTTTATAGAGGCTGACCTCATTCCTGAACTGAATGAAACTGAAGAATATGAGGTATAGCATTCATTTATTTTTAAGAGAGTATTTCAAATGCATACATTTCAACGAAATTGAATATACTCCATGAAAATTTACAAAACTATGTCACCAAATGAATGTATTATCTGCATTCATATATATATATGCATATACAGACTTCTTTTTTAGCTATATTTCTCTCTTGATAACTCTAGAGATACCTCTCTATTTAGTTCTCTGGTGCTGGAGATACATGGAGGAGTAAATGATATCACAGGGTATGCCTGAATATTTTTGAAAATGGGGCATCAAGTTATTGTCACCTCTGAATGAAGTCTGACAGAATTGTTCATTTAGCAGTGTCAGAGCTGTCACCCAGTGTTACACATTTTAGTTTGTATAATGAGAAATCTGACTTGGACTTGCTTATGATTGCCAGGTTGGATGGGGCTTTGAGCAACCTGTTCTAGTGGAAGGTATCCCTGCCCATGGCAGGGGGGTTGGGACTGGGTGATCTTTAAGATCCCTTCCAACCCAAACCATTCTGTGATGGACTTAGGTAGCAAACTAAAGTAAGGGAAGAAGGCAGTTGTCCCAAAGAGTGAGATTCACATGTGTCAGCTATTAGTGTGCTATCAGGTAAATTTAACGGTTACTCCAAAATTCTTGGAGGTTCATTTAGTACTTAAACTCAAGTTAGATATTACAGTATAACTCTATTTTACACAGTTTTGGATGTTTTTGTGATAATCTCTGCAGAATTCATATTTGGTAACTAGGTTTCTGGTGTCCTAGCAAGGAGAGAGGTGAAAATACCACAGTTACATTTTTAACAATCTGTAATACTGATTTTGTAACATGGACAGTTCCTTCAGTAAAACCTACATTCGTATCAAGTAATCCCTCAGAATTTCTATTTTATAGTTTCATTCTATGACCACAGTATTCTCACTGAGGGGCAAGTCCTTGTTAGTTAAATAGACAGCCTGTGCTTACCTGTCTATTTACCTTTCCTTGTATTTGTGGACACTTAATAACCAGTAAGACAGTTATTTCTCTGGTGATGTAAGCTATGTAGCTAGATTATTATATTGCATCTGCCAGGACGATAACTGAGTGCCGGTGAATGTCAACTGGTTTTTACTTGAACGATGAAAGTCTACAAGAGCGGGCATTGCCCTACAGAAAGTAAATTTTCAGAAACAAGGCCTGTCTAGTTCAGTCTGGGTTTGAGGACACACAGCCTAGGTGTGGCTGTCCTGACATTTTAGATATTTAGGCCTCAGAATGAAATCCAAACCTGAGAGTCATGTCTGAGCTACCTTATATTATGTTAGTGCACAACAGGTTCCTGGTATGAAAAAAGGACAGCAGTGTGAAGCACAGCTCTGTCCCAGTGGTTGAAGCCCTCACTCTGGTGAGATTGGCTAAAAGCTAAGAATTCCTATTAGCCAAGTGCCCTAGTTAACAGTTTATTCAGCAGTGGTTTATCTTGGGCATTTCTTTCAAAGGCTGTTGATTTTACATTCTCCTCTCTGCTGTGCCCTGTTCACTTCAGTACAGGAGCAGGAGATCTACTCAGTCTAAAATACAGTGGAAACTGGGGAATTCTTAGACTGGTAACTGTGTCCCAGTCTCCTGTCTCCTGGGTGTTTTCTCTCAATATTATGCTTTTGAATAAAAGCAGGTGAGTATTGCCACCACATCACCAAGCCAGATCTTCAAAAGAAAAAGGAGTTGTAACTGTATTTTGCAAGAGGCTCTGTCCTGCTGGCATCTCTGAGGGCTATCAAGTCCCTGCAGAAACGGAAGGTGCCCCTCTATCTAGTTTGCAGAGTGCTGCTTGGACAGGTTTGGTTCTGATGCAGTTCTAGATTGGAGCACAACAGAGCTGTGAGCACTGCTTTGTCTAGGTCAAAACAAAAATGCCTGCTGAGCAAGTTAGATGCTTCCACATTGCAGTTTTTTATTTGGTGCAAGGAAAGTTGCAGGGCGGGTAAAAAGATTTGAACTTAGATCCTCAAGTACTACACAAATCCTGGTTGTATTTAGGCTTTCCCCCCCCCCCCCCGCCCCCCCTTTGAGTCTGTCTTTAGAAGTCAAAATTCGTAACACAGGTTTTTCACAAAGTATCATTATTCATGCTCACCAAGCAAAAGGCCGTAACTGGGACCAAGTGGTATCACTCACAACACTTGTGAAACTACTACAGTCATGGTGACTATCCTGAAATCTTCTCCAGAAACTCTGAAGATTCAGCAGATTTGAGGACAGGTCATAAATATATTTAAAAAATTCCATTACTGTGAAAGTTTAATCAAGAGCAGGATATTAGTGCAAACCTCTAAGACATTCTGATATCAAACCCATTTTTTTCATTGATGTGTACTGCACATACAGTTGCATTTTATTAGAAAAGAGGTAGAGCTTTTTTAGTAAAGTAAATACTGTGAACTGGTTTTGTCTCTCAGGGTAAAAGTAGCACTACTGAAGAAGTTGTGATACAGGATTTTTTTTGTTCCTGTTTCAAATAAGTAATTTTCAAGAGAAGATACCTGTTCTTGCAGCTAAATATTTTGCTTTAAGACTAAGAGATCTTCTCAAGTGTTGTCTTGTTTTGCTTCTTGGTTTTATGGAGCCAGAAAAATGTTTTGGTTTTTTTTGTAGTTTGGGTTTTCATTTATGTACAATGTCTATATTTTTAATTGTCTTTGGCTATGATATTTTTTCAAAGGATGAAGTTGAGGAAAAGGAAACAGAGGCAGAGGAAGAAACTGCAGTGATTCCTAGTACTGACAGTATGATAAACCAAATAAGAAAAAGTGTCCAGGTGACTACATCTAGCTACAGTCAAGAAAAACTGGGGACAAGACCCAATGAAGCTAAAACAAATAGATATTTAACAAAAGAAGAAGAATTGCATGGTAAGGATGATGTTTTCAAGGCAGTTTATTACCCTACTTCTCCACCTCTTCATGAAATTTCTGAAGAAGAGGAAGATCCTTTTTTGGAATCCAAAACAGCTACTGGAATTCCTCCACAACTCATTGACTCCACCAAAGGCATAGAAGAAGAATACATATACCTTTCTTCAGGCACTGAACCAACAAGAATAACGACTACTGGCCATAGTGAGGAAGATTTCTTATTGTCTCCTTTTAAACCTAATCAGGAATCTGATGACTTTTGGAGTACAGTTCTTACAACTTCTTCAGCACAGCTGGTTACAGAGGAGAGCTCCCAAGATCTTCCTTCAGGAAGCCCAGATACAAGCATTCATGATGTTCTTTCCCAAGGCTCCATTAAGTATGTTTCAGAAGGTGTAGCACCCTCAAGCTCTGATGAGTCTCCAAAGCATACTTCTTCCACTGTTGGAAACGTATGGTTCCGTAATGCTACAGATCAGACAACTCAATCTGTTGATACATCGGATAAGAGGCAATTGTCTCAGACCATTTACACTGATGCTTATGTAGAGGGATTAAAGCCAGCTACAGTGCCCTATTCCAGCAGCCTATTGGTTTCACAAGACACTTCACATGCGGATTTAGAATTGCCACATTATTCTACCTTTGCTTTCTCCTCTGCTGAATTATCACCTCACTCTATCCCTTCAAGCTCTGGAGAATATGGTTCTGCTTCTGCTGCCAGTGAGGTACTCTCTCAGACAACTCAACCAGTCTATAATGGTGAGATACCTCTTCAACCTTCCTACAGTAGTGAAGTGTTTCCTCTAGTCACCCCTTTATTGTTTGACTCTCAGATGCTCGACACTACCCCTGCTACATCAGATAGTGATGTGACCTTGCATGCTACACCTGTATTTCCCAGTGTTGATGTGTCATTTGAACCCACCCTGTCTTCCTATGATGATGTACCTTTGCTTACATTTTCCTCTGCTTCCTTCAGTAGTAAAATGTTTCACCGTTTGTATACAGTTTCTCAAATGTTTCTACAAAGCGCTACTCCAGCTGTTGCAAGTGATAAGGTGTCCCTGCATGCTTCTTTGACATTGGCAGAGGGTGATGCATTAATACAGCCAAGCCTTGCTCAATATGCTGATGTGATGTCACATCAGACTACTCATGCTGCTTCAGAGACACTGATATTTGGTCATAATAGAACTCACATATTTTCTCAAGTTGAACCATCCAGCAGTGATTTAAATGTGCATGTACTACCTACAGTGTCTGAACTTCCTTATGCTTTGTCTAGTAATGTGGGCTCCCTCAAAAGCTTTACTGTTTCCTATGACTCTGCAGAATTTGTGCACAATTCTGTTGACGTATTCCGTCAAGATCCTTTATTTAGCAGCTATAACAATGTACCGGTGCATAAACCTTCTTCTGTAATATCACAAGCTGATACTTTGCTGCAGCCTACACGCTCTCTATCTAGTGATATGGATTGGTCTGAAGCATACTCTGGTAGTGAGTCCCTTTTGCCTGATACAGATACTTTGATGGTACTTAACATTTCTTCCTCTGATTCCGTAGATGAAATTACATATGAATCATCTGGGTTTAGTGATGTTAATAAGATACTTCAAAAAGGTGATGTTATATACGGAGATGAGAGAGAACTGCACATTTCCTCTTCTTTAAGTGAAATGGCTTCCAATGCTGAAAGTAAAGTGATACCTGAACCTTTTACATCTGTTTCTAATATTGATGTAATTAAGCAGAATACATCTCTGCAAGAAAGCCCACTTCCTGTTTCTAGCACAAAGGGAATCCTTCCAGTCTCTCTTGCTTTTCCCACTACTAAGATATTTGATCGTGATATTAGTAAACTTACAGAAAATCACCTTTCCGTTCAGCCTTTGCATGTTACAACTCCAGCCTTTGATGACACTTTGCTTAAACCTATGCTTAGTGCAAGCTCAGATCAAGCTCTCTCTGCCCCTGCTTATAGCAAAATGTTATCCTCGACTCAGCTGTACTTTTATGAGACCTCAGCTACATTAAATAATGAAGCATTACTGCAGTCCTCCTTACAATCTTCTGGCGATGGCACTCTGCTTAACACAGCTGCAGTTGTGCCTAGTGATCCAATATTGGCTGAAAGCTCCAGGGTTCATAAAGATAGTTCAACATTTGACCAAATATTGCATCAAATGGCACCAGGTTCTGCTACAACTGAAACCATGCTGCATTCTACATCTGCACCTTCCGTTGATGATATGTTGTCCAACACTTTTAGTAAGCCCACAGCGTCACTTCAAGGTTTACCTGTTTCTTATGCAAGTGAGGAGTATGTTTCATCCAGTGTGTTTAACAGTGAAGATGTTCAGAAGGTTATGCCTTCATTGTACAGTAGCGATGTTTCATTCCAGCTGACCAGTTTAGAAAATACAAATGCCTTCCCCCCCCAAGCAGTGAATGCCATAACAACTCCCTTACAATCAGGTGTAGCTACTCCTGCAGACAGCCATATCTCTTCAAGAGTTTTTGAAAGAAGTGAGACTGCCAGTGTCTCTTCAAGTTCTACACTTGGTTTTGATCCTGTCAATATGCCTGCAGTTGTTTCTGATTCTGACATGTCCATTCATCACACTCTTCCTTTACCAAATGTACATATTTCTGTTACGTCTGTTCCTCCCAAAAGCGAGAGCCCTGTAACTTTGAGTAGGTTGCTGGTTCCTTCCAGAGAATCCTCTGGTTTGTCTCCTAGTGTCATGTCCAGTACTGATTTGTGGCCTTCTGTAGTTGAGGATGACTACGATGAATATGACGATGGCTTCCCTGTAAGTAACTGTATCTCATGCACTTCCCATAGAGAAGCTCAGGATATGGTAGCTGAGGAACAAAATACAGAGGTAAACAATAAGAAGGATCAGAGTAACCTCATTATAAGCTCACATTCTGAGAAACCTGAAGAAGAGAAAATTTCAACTGCTGCATCAGACAGTCAGATGAACCGTGCCATGGACAGACATAATTATACATCCATACCAACTTTGACAGCAAGTGTGATACCTAAGAAGCACAACGACCCAACAGTTTTGAAGAACCACATTGAGACTGCTAGCATCCCATTGCAAAACACATCAGAGTCCAAGTCTTGGGCTGTTTTTACAAGTGATGAAGAAAGTGGTTCTGGCCAAGGTACCTCAGATAGCCTTAATGATAATGAAACTTCAACAGATTTCAGTTTTCCTGACCTTAATGAGAGAGACACTGAAGGGGCAGTTGAAGCAGGTAACTCAGAATTAACTCCTGGATCATCACAGTCATCAGCCTCATCTGTTTCTAGTGATCACTCATCAGTATTCAACATCTCTGAGGCAGGTTAGTTATGGATAAGTGCAATGAATACCGTGGAAAGCTGTGAGGGGATTCTTTTGTGCCATAGGGAATGAGAAGGTTTATCTACGTGTAATAAAAGGAGAACATAACAGTGCCAGTGGGTGTGATTAAGGAAGCACTGGGGAGCAGGGGGTGCATGCTGAGCTGTCTATCTTGTGAATGCTATTTCTGGCTACTTAAAACTCAACCTGAAATATCCTTCGGTGAGAAGATTCATACTCTGCTTTTGGATAGTTGTGTACTGTCAGCAGAAGTTGGGTGGTGCACAATCTGAAACCAGAATTTGTTTTAATGTTAATTGTTTCATTTTAGTTTTGAAGGTTTAAGAGGGATCCGAGTTCTCTGTACAAAGACAAATGCTGCCCTTATGGAATGATACCAGAGGAAACCATGGCTCTGAGTTTCTGGTTTTAACATACAGCAGAACATTTCCTCCTTGTGTTTTGTTTTATGTTTTCTAAGATGTGTTGAGCAAGGAAGAAGATGCTTCAGTTTGATTCTGATTCATCTTAACTCATAAAAACATTCATTTTCATTCTTACTCTGTATGCCACCTTCAGATTTCATTGAGATACAGACTTTTCGTGCCAGATTTGCATATTTCCAAAGTACTCAGAGCCAGATTCTCCTGTACCTGTTTCTATTTAGTGCTGTTTTCCTATTTAGTTATCTTAAGGTTAGCAACAGTATTTGTGATCTGTGATTCCAAGGATAAGGTCAGAAGGCAAAACTGAACCTCACATAGATAAAAACCTGATAAATATAAAGCATTTCCCTTGTATTTAAAAATGCATTACGGAAAACACAAAGTATTCAGACACATAATTTCCATTGCCTTTTGTCAGAGTATTGAAAATCCAAGAGTAAAGTCAGAAATTATCTAAGATGTTTGGCGGGGGAGGTGAGGGAGGGGGGACAAAAACGAAAACGAGGAACAAGGTTAAACTGGTATTTTAGAAAATTAACTGAACTTCAATTAACTACTCACAGCATCTGTAGAGGGCAGTATCATTCAACTAAACCCACTAAAGAATGTCATCCACAGAGCACAGGAAATTTTCGGCCCAGTCCTACAAATACACAGTTAAATCACATGAGGTTGTAGTACTCATGAGCATTAGAATTATATATTCATATTAGAATACTAATACGAAAAGTTGGCAAATTTACACTTTATGTAGCTGGACCTAGCAGAATGTGAAAAACAGAAAATAAAAATTTAAAGAACGTCAAAACCATACCGAAATCAGTAGGAGTTCTAACAAGGTAGGTGTTATAAAATTGAATCAATAAGTGAGTTAGTTCAGTAGGTAAGTAGTTACTGCATTACGGAAAGTACATATTTCTTTAAAAATCAGCAAAAATAACATCAATATTTCAAAACCTATGTTACTAACATAAATAAGTGTTACCATAAGAGATTTATAGTTTACATATGGGTGTCATTTTAGTTGTTATCGATAGTGAAAAGGATTATACGTGACTGGAGTACTAGTACAACAGACTTAGAGTTTGTCTTCTAGGTATTATTGAAAGACACTATACAGTATCATTTCATGTACATTATTTTTACCATTAATTGATGCCAAATACTGTCTTTTAATAAACTGAAAATTCAATGTGAGCATGTCTAACATGGTCTCCTGTAAATCATAGACATCTTTGCTTAATTCAATTATAAAGAAATTAAACCAAAAAAAAAACCAAACCAAGCAAACATTCTCAGCTGAGAATTTATTTATATATTACAGTGAATTCACAAGAAATTAGTTAAATGTCTTCTGGTTGTAACCATTACAGAAAAATTGTCATTTAAACTTTTCTCAGTCTTTGTAGTTGCTGATCCGTATTTATGTTTGTTCTTAACTAAGGCTTTCTCCGTAAGATCTCTATGGCTACCTAAACCTTTCAACTTCAGCTGAAAAACTGTCAGCAAAATTAATATAAAATAGTATGCAAAGGATCCAAATACATCTATTATTAGGGAGCAAAGATATTTACTATAGATGAGACTACCTTTTCAGCTGCTACCATGGGAGTAATGGCCAAGTGGACAAGAAACCCTCCATTGCAGGAGAAGCCTACTCTTCATTCCCCATAGAAGGAATCGTAATAGGACTTGGTCATGCAGTTTGAAGGAATCCTGTCATCACTCAGATAAGGCTGGGTTTTACGTTGTGAATTAATCCAGAGTTGGATAAGCAAGTATGAATGCTTCAAAGGGATCATATTCTGATCTCTAATATGTACACCTAGTTTCTGCTGAAATCAGTAGGAAATACTGATTTTAACCTACTTACCAGAAACTTGGCAACGGTTTTTTCAGAAGGAACTTGTGCCTGCAAACACTTTGCCCACTGAGCTACAGGACTTAAAGAGTAGTGATTGATTTGGGTGTTAGAGTGCTTAGAACTAAAACCAAGAAGATGTTTGATCTTGATGTCTGATCAGAGCCTAGACGTTTTTGCATATAAAGCCCTGAAAACCCCTAAATTCAAGAAAATTGAAGCAAGGAAAGAGCTGCCTGGAAATCTGTATTGTGTGAAGCTGTTTGGGTTTTGACATCCTATTTTAAAACATGTGATTTGTTGTCTGTCTTTTTTTTTTTTTCCCCTCCAGATCCAACTCCATTCCCTCCTCCCTTTTGTCTTGAAGATTTTAATTCATTAGAATTGGTCCCTTGAAATCCTGATGGAGTGCAGCTGATTTCTAGAGAGCAAAATTCTGTTCCCATACAGAACATTCATTGAATTAGGACTGTTCACAAGAGCAAAAAACATTCTTAGAGAATCCAAGGGTTCCATTCTAATAAGTGCAAAAGTGCTTATTTCTGTGCTTTAATATGATGGTGAGAGGTCACAGTAAACTGCACAGATTGAAAAGAATCAGTAACTTTGTGTCAAAATCACAGTTCTAAAATGTTTACTTCTTAAGGTATGACAAAAATTAAAAATGCAGGATTGGTCTCATCCACTGTTGTGTTCCCTTAGTTAATGAGATTGTAAAATATGTTGGTTTAATCTTCCTACAGATTCCTATATCCAAATATTTCTGTCACCCAGCATTACAAGGCTGACAGAAATCTGAAATCTAGACAATATATAAATATTAATTTGATCGTCTGTAAAGACAGAGGTAGGAAATTTAATTCTGACTCCAGTATACTTGGGTGAGGAAGTACTGCAATTGGATTCGAAGACAGCAGGCTATGTCCACAAGGCAAGTTACAGAATGTGCACTGTATTAGAATGCAGAAGGCAAGCACATAGGGACTATTGTAAGAAAATTTTCTATTAAGCCGTTAGCCAGAGAAGCGATTTGCATTATATGAGTAACAGTTTAATATCAAAATGTTCTTTACACATTCCAATATTATATATTCAGAATCCTTAACTCAGTTGGCTTTCAGCTAATAAACAGATGAAATTAAAAAACTTTTCTTCTCCTATATTTTAACAACAATCTGCTATTCCTTAAAAGAGAAGTCTCCACTGCTGGAAGGCTGAGTCACATAAGCTTGAACACTTTGCTTTACCCTCTATCTGCTTTTTTCTGTAAGCTGGTTTGCAAATTCATACACTTTCTGCAGTACATAGTAAAACATAGAGGTAAGTGGTATTAAGTAGGCTTGTTACAAGACACATTCACTCGTGTTGTGCATTCCACAGAATTTAAACATGGACTATTTCAATTTTCTCTGACTGCAGAGGCAAGTAATATTAGCCATGAGTCTCGTATCGGTCTAGCTGAGAGTCTGGAATCAGAGAAGAAGACAGTTATACCACTTGTGGTCGTATCAGCCCTGACTTTTATCTGTCTAGTGATTCTTGTGGGTATTCTCATATACTGGAGGTAAGTGTTTTTTTGGTTGTTTGGGGTTCTTTTAGTACTAAAGAGCTCTGATTTGAAAAATGTGATTTACACTGTTGAGCTGGTTTACAGGAGGGAGACTGGATCTTGTCTCTTACCATGATACAAAGCTGACAGACTAAGGTATTTTGTGTCCAAAATGCTCAACTACAATTTTTTTTTTAAGTTTCAGAGGATTGAAACATTGCAAATAGCTTATTTCCAATTGAGATATTCTAATAAACAATTAGTTGTGATTATTAATGCCTAGAAGTCAAGTGACTTAACAGAGCACTGGGAAGAACGGGAGGGAGAGGAAAAATAATAGCATGTCACAGATTAGTTTCCTATCTTTCCGATCCTTTAACAGTTAAAAAAAAGGTAGTTGACAATTATGAATGAGCATCTATAATTCTCAACAGGACTGTGTGACTAATTAATTCATACAGTAGGACTGTAGGATTGTGATATACCTGACATTGTATGCAAGACGGAAATGGGGTAGTTTAATGATACCGTAATAGTATAAATGCTACTGAGTAGCTCTTAACAGTAGTCACGATGTTCCGTGAGTAAAAAGTTGTTCTACTTTGTGATTCTGACACACCAAAATTCACCTTTCAAACCATTCAGGAGGTAACTAAGGATGTGTTTCATGTGCATACACATGCTCAGGTTCCCATATGGGTGTATTTCTCTGTGACCTGATAAATATATAAGATAGAAAAAAAAAATAGGCTAAAGGGAAGTGGATAGCTGTAAGAAGTCATGATAAATAATTAGTGAGGGCAAAAGAATATATCTATATTGTGAAATAAAACAGACCAGCTGGCATGGCACAGATCTCTTCTCTAGAGCTGAAGTCTTTTCCCTCACAGTGGGGAAAAACAGTGGCTGCATTCACATCACTAACTGGAGATTGTCTCTATGCTGTGCTAACCCCAAACTGTGTCAAGTGTTGTGTGATATAATGCAAGTTGTCCTCAGCTAAAAGCATACCAGGAATCTCGTTAATATGTGGCAGTGCTCAAGCCTTTGGCTGTGTCTCATTGGTTCTAGATAAAGCCAGAGAATCTTCCTAGGGACATGTTTGCTTAAGCTCTCATAGGACTTTAGAAATCCATGCACAACCCTAACATTCTTGAGTGTGCAGGCTGCCAGGGAGGAAACACAGTAGTGGTCCAGAATGGGGAAATACGTTGCAAAAACTTCTGCCATAGATACTCTTGCTGTGTTGTGATTGCCAGGAACCTAATCCTGTTACTGCTTCTGCAGTGCTACCATGTAAACTGGTAGCAAGGAACAGGACCTTGTTCTTCCAGGAGCTGTATGAACAAAGGGGAAGGCAGTCCCAAACATCTCACAGATGCTTCCGCAGATTGTTTCTCCTTTTTTTTTTCCTACCCACTACTCAATCCTGCTTAATCTAAAATGTATAAAAGTGGTGAAGAACCAGGAACTAGACCCCAGACCGCCCTTTCCAAGCTACTGACTAATCTCTAGGATATAACATTACGGTTGTGCTTACTGACTTTTCCACTAATCTGGTGACACTGGTTTTCTATCAGCCCAGCAGGGTATGTCCCACATGGGGACAGAATGCATCCTGTCTGTGAACAGACTAGGCTTAAGATATTTACTTTGAGCTTCCTTTGTTCCAAGCAAGTGTGCTAGTGAGTCAGACAGCCGTTGGCATGATTGAAGACACCTTTTAGCAATGAATTTTCAGCAAGATTTCTTCTTTCCAAATAAGTAGGTAATTACTGTAAGAATTGCACAACTCATTTCTTAGAGTATGTCAAGCTGGATAATTACACTGTTCATCACAGGATTTCCAGCTAACGACTTTCATATTGAGAACATTCTCCTGTCTTTCATGTTACGCAACATGAACGTTCATATTCATCTTCCCAAAGTGTTTAATCTCTGATGCTAAATAGTATTTGAAATCTCTTCTATTTGCTAAAGAACACCATCCATTTTAAGACCCAGATTGTACAGTGCAGTTGTAGTAATCCTACACGTTACAAGCTTGTTTTTGCCGAATAACACTGTGTTCATTTCGTATTCTTTCTCTTGGAATGAACAATCCTGTAAGACAGGTCTTTTCAAAATAAAACAGAAATCCCGTTAGCAGTAATATCTTCTTGATTTGAATTTAATCTTTTCTGTATTTCTTGTGTACTATAAAATAAAATACGGAGCTCTTTTATTGTTAATCCTCAAGAAAATTCTCTCGGCTTTATAACACCAGTAACATGTTTCTTATTTCAGAGGAATGAAACGCAAACAGTATGTATTGTGGGTAGAACTTCGTGGCCCTCTTTCAAAGGTGCCAAGACCCTCACCCTTTTTTTAGAGCCTGGGAAAAATCAGAACATTAACTTCACTGCTATGCAGTTTTTATTGAGTCTTGAAAATATTAGCATAAAGTCTATAAGAATGTTTATGGTTAGATTTACTTTATTTTGAAATTTGTGATGTAAGCTGTCGATGGGTTGGGTTTGGTTCTGTTTCTTTGTTTGTTTGGGTTTTTTTAATGTGGGCCAATTATTTTCAGTTATTAAAGTTCATTAAAAGTTTAGGTTTGCAAGAAGTAATTCTGTATTCCTTTGGCTAGAGTACTCAAAAAATTACATTGATGTATCCTAGCTGGGTATTTGAGTGAATAGTGCTTTGAGTTGTTTCCACTATTAGCTCCTAATTTGAATATGCAAAAGGTGTGCTTAATATGCAAAATGTGCATTTGGTTTAAAACCCAAGTAACTACCAAGAGTGACAAGTTCCAGTTTCTCAAGGTTAAAAAAAGACAAAATTATTTTGTTCTCCACTTGAATGACTTGTATTAGAAAAATAATTCTGTACCATCTGTTGTTTGGGTTTTGGTTGGGTTTTTTTTACATTAAATGGTTAATCAGCACTTGAGGAAATTCCCCAATCTCTTTTCTATCTCATTAGGCACAATTTCAATCTTTCTGTGATAAAATATTCATTTCTCTGACAGGGATGAAAACTTTTAATGGCAATATTGTCTAAAGATTGTCTAATTGCCAGCAGGAAAATACACAATTTTGAACTGCTGTAGCTCTGTTTATAATTCAATTTTCAAGCAATGTCATTTTCGTTTCATTTCTTCAGCATGATTAAGATTACAGTGGAATAAATAAGGAGATTCTTTTGCCTATTTAGTGGCCTTGTTGTCTAGATAGATATTTTTTTTATTACAGCTTTAGAGAGAATTTTCTGTCCATATCTCAAGTCTATCCGTCTCTCTCCGTATCTATCTTGATACAAGGACTTGACTGAGTCCTTG